TTTGTGTACTTATTGTAGCAGCAGTACCTGATACTATCTCTATGGCTTCGCTTCTGAGCCCACTGAAGCTTGAAGATGACGTGGAGCCCAGAATCTCAGCCAAGAAAAAATGACTCAGGTGATTTAGTCCAGTAGCCACAGTCCTTGAATTTTGGTTATTTTTAGGGACAAAATATCTTCATACTTCTATCACCTCTCCCTTTAGCCTCACTTTTGCTCCACCCCCATCTCCCAATTTCTTAGCACCATCCCTTTGGGCCAAGGAATGGAAACAGGAGGAGTTGTATTCAGGTCTTAATATTTTCTCATCTTAGTAACTTTCCAAAACTGTAGTATCAGATGCTACTTTTCAACAATAAATGGATTTTTAAGTTTATTATTTAGAAAAAAAAAAGGAAAACTCTTTTATTTTGTTTTTTTATATTAGTGTGAAGATAGAAACTGCAAAAATCTAAACGTATTTTGGAAGCTCTAAGAGTGTGTTTGGGAAGAGTTAAGTGTTTTCAGTTTATGGCAATGATATGTGCGGCTGTGAAAAAGAAAGCAGCCATGAAATACATTTTTGCATAAAGGTTTGAAATTTATTAGAAGGTAAAAATAATTGAAAAAGCCAAGCCTTGCTTGTTGTGTTATAATAAAAAGTTATTTATATGCCATCATTGTGCACATTTAGGAGCTGGGTTCCTTTCAGAGGTCGTTCTCAGAGAAACAAGAAGAAAGCTAAGCTATTAAATCTGTTCAGCTGAAAAAGCTGACATATGGACACAGCAATTCTGAAGACTGTGGCCATATCAAAACAATTGGTAATAATAGCTGAACTGCTAGTGTCTGAATTTTATTAGTTACAGAATCTCAAAAGGGATGTTCTATGGGCAGCTGCTTCCAAAATATACACACCCTGCCCTTGGTATAATAGAATGGTAGACTTGCAAAGTAGTATTCATTTATCTGAGTTCCATTAAAACTTCCAATGTGGGGTTTAAACATTCAGCACTGATTTTACAATTCACCTGCCATTCACAAAATTGCACGAGCCTTGCTTGATGATTGTAAAGCACGTAGAGATCCTTGGCAGAGAGCACATGCAAACCCTTTGTTAAGTGTTCATTTGAGTAAAGTACCCTCCTACTTAGAGCAGTATATACCATACGTTATCTTACCAAATCCTTTCAACTCTCAAAAGTGAGCTTTGGGCCTTTGAAATGTTCCAGATGGGCCTCCCTGAAGACCAACAGACTGTCTCACCACTAAGCAAGAGGAGATTCATTTTTAACCTCTCCTTACCAATACTTTTCAGCCTTCTTAAAGCAACTCCATTACACGCAATCTTCTCTCTTCTTGTTAGAGAGGCTGCTAATTTGCAGTCAGAGTTATCAGTGCCCTTGAATACTGACCACCTTTTCACTTTAATCTATTCTAGTCACAGCTTTATGTAGTGAGAGAAAGATAGAAAGATTTGGTGACTTACTTGAGACCTTCCCATTTCAATTCTGTGAATACATACCGGGAAATGGTATAGTAATAACCTGTTCCAAAGTTCTGATTTCAATGGAACATGTCGTGAATTTGATGACAGACTGAATTTGCCTCTGGGTTTTCTGTCTTCTTTGGTCCCCAGGAGTTCCAATGCTGAAGATTGTGTTTGCAGGCCACGAGTATCTCTCTTTAATATCTGTGCCGTTGCTCATCTACCACCCAGCCCAGATCCTCCTGGGAAGTGTGTTGGTGCCAACAATAAAGTCATGGATGGTGTCAAGGCAGAAGGTAAGGCTCTAGAAAGATCTTATTTGTATCCGAATTAGATTGAAATGCTGTTGCTGAATCTGAACTTTGTCCACTTCAGTTTTTGCTAGCATATCCTCATTCTCAGGTACATAGTTTCTTAACTAAATATAGTAGTAATGGGGCATTGATCCATTTTAATTTGAACAGGACAGTTGAGGATTAAACATTTTAAATTATTAAAGAAGACAATTATGCAGTTTTAAAAGGCTTTTTTAAAAATTCACTCATATTGAAGGACATATTGCATGGGGTAAAAGTTCAGTAAATGTACTCAACATACCTACCCCCTCCACTCTGGGCACATCATTTTAGCCCCACCCAATCTTTCATGCATGTCCTAATTTCACATGCCTTTGTCATTATGATAGAACCTGGCTTTATCTAAATGCCTACTTTTTAAAAAAATTTTCTAGATACATAATAACTTCTTAGTACAAACTGTGTTTAGGCATTAAAAAAAAAATAAGTAGCAAAGGAGTCCACCCTTAGCTCAGAGTCTTTTTACATATTAAATATTTGTGGATTTGTTATCAATCAGAATAAAGTAAACTGGGTGAGTCAAAAGACGTTTAGATGACGCGTATAACATGGTGGCACTCACAAAGCTGCCTCCTTCTCAGTGGCTTGAACCTGCCCAGGACTTATTTTTGTCTGTACATGAGGCAGCAACTGTTATCAGGAGATGTGCAGGAAGAAGAGACATCCAATGAGAAAGTGCCCTATGTCATGTCATTAATATCCTAAAAATGGAATGGCCACAGAACCACTTATTGAGCTGCGTGTGTGCTAAGCATACCCCACCCTTTCCCTGGTTCAGAGTATGGATCTCGAGCCAGCCTGCCTGGGCTCAGAACACAGGCTTCCAGCTCTGCCACTTTCTCACTGTGTGACCTTGGCATACATCACTTCTCTGCACCTCATTTTCTGCCACTATGTGACTAATGATAATATCTACACCCTAAAGTTGTAGAGGATTATGTGGCAGGCGCTTGGTAAAAGGTAGCTGCTGGAACTGTTGTTGCTGTCACTGTGGTTCACTATTGTCCGTAACGATGTTCATAGCAGGCTTTGCTCTCCCCATTTTACAGGTTAGGAGGCTCAGAGAGTTGAGCAACTTCCCCAAGGGCATGTGGACAGTTCAGTCAGTGCTGGAGTTAAGACTTGAACCCTGGTCTATTTGGCCCCCAAAATCTTCCCCTAGCATCACAGTGACACTCCGGAGAGAAATATAACATCACTTTTCACTCAAAAGCCCCCAGAAGCCTACCTGGGAAGTTTAGCCCATCCAACATGTGCACTAATTCAGTTATATAACAGCGTGTTAGTGATTCCTGTTCTGCACTGGGCACCACTCGGGCTGTGAGCCTCCTGCTCAGTCAGGAGAGGACCAGTTTAGTACCTTTTTCTCTCCTTTACTAATTATCCCCTTTGAAAACTTCCATTTATGTTTATGCTTATGTTCATCAATGTGTATGTGCATTGTCAGTCGGAATTTGTGCATATAAATTTGGACAAAATGAAGAAAATTATATGGAAATCCTAATATTCTTATCAATAATATGAAGTCATAGTATAAAGCAATTAATGACAATGAATTTTTCTTTTTTTATTAAAAATATTTTAACATTCATTTGTACATATTTGTGCAGTATAGTGTGTTGTTTCAATACACGCATATATGCACAATGGTTCACTTAGGGTAGACAGCACAGTTTTGTGCCTGTTGATCCACCACTTCTCCTCCCCCCGAAACCCTTCCCTCCCAGCCTCTGGTAACTATTATCCTGCTCTCTACTTGTATGAGAGCCACTTTTTTTTAGATTCCACATATGAGTAATATCACATGGTATTTGTCTCTTTCTGCCTGACTTACTTCACTCAACATGATGGTTTCCACTTCCGTCCATGTTGCTGCAAATGACAGGATATCTTTTTTTTTTTAATAGCTGAATAGTATTCCATTGTGTTTACATACCACAGTTTTTTAATCCATTCATCTATCAATGGACATTTAGGTTGATTTCATCTCATGGCTATCATGAGTAGTGCTGCGATGAACATGGGAGTTCAGGTGTCTTTTTGATATTTGATTTCATTTTCATTGGGTATCTGCCCAGCAGTGGGATAGCTGGGTCGTAAGATAGATCTATTTTTAGTTCTCTGGGGAACCTCCATAGTTTTCCACAATAGCTGTACCAATTTAAACTCCTACCAACTATGTAGGAGAATTCTCTTTTCTCCGCATGCTCACCCGCATTTCTTATTTTCTGTCTCGTTGGTAATAGCCATTCTAACTGGGGTGAGGTGATATCTCATTGTGGTTTTAATTAGTCTTCCCTCTAGGTGTTTAAAAGCTCTGCAATTTATTCTACAGAGTAACAAAAGCATTTTCAAAAGGGAGACTAAACTGGACAATGCTGTTTGTTTTCCCTTTATATAGAAACCTCTCCAAACCAGGAGGTCACTGGCTAACTGAGGATAATACAGAAGGCCCAGAATATTTATGCTTGGCATTTGACCACTAAAATAAATACAAAGAGTCTATCCTCAGGGTATCCCTGAATGCCTCCTTCACTTTGCAAACAATACTGATTAAGACCCACAGCCACCATCTAGCACACAGCGGAACTGTAGGAGTAGCCGGGCTGGGCTGGGGGCAGATGGCAAAGTCTGCTAATAGCTGAATAGTATTCCATTGTGTTTACATACCACAGTTTTTTAATCCATTCATCTATCAATGGACATTTAGGTTGATTTCATCTCATGGCTATCATGAGTAGTGCTGCGATGAACATGGGAGTTCAGGTGTCTTTTTGATATTTGATTTCATTTTCATTGGGTATCTGCCCAGCAGTGGGATAGCTGGGTCGTAAGATAGATCTATTTTTAGTTCTCTGGGGAACCTCCATAGTTTTCCACAATAGCTGTACCAATTTAAACTCCTACCAACTATGTAGGAGAATTCTCTTTTCTCCGCATGCTCACCCGCATTTCTTATTTTCTGTCTCGTTGGTAATAGCCATTCTAACTGGGGTGAGGTGATATCTCATTGTGGTTTTAATTAGTCTTCCCTCTAGGTGTTTAAAAGCTCTGCAATTTATTCTACAGAGTAACAAAAGCATTTTCAAAAGGGAGACTAAACTGGACAATGCTGTTTGTTTTCCCTTTATATAGAAACCTCTCCAAACCAGGAGGTCACTGGCTAACTGAGGATAATACAGAAGGCCCAGAATATTTATGCTTGGCATTTGACCACTAAAATAAATACAAAGAGTCTATCCTCAGGGTATCCCTGAATGCCTCCTTCACTTTGCAAACAATACTGATTAAGACCCACAGCCACCATCTAGCACACAGCGGAACTGTAGGAGTAGCCGGGCTGGGCTGGGGGCAGATGGCAAAGTCTGCTGGCCAGTGAAGTGGGCAGGTGAATCTGTTTATATCCAGAGGTTTGAATTCTTGGCTATGTAATGCTATCTGGGTGGGCCTCTTCTTCCTTCTAGTGGCATAAATTACCTAGTATTAATCGATGTTTTCACTTTGCTAATGGATCCTGTCCTATTCTGAACACCATGTTTTCCTTTCTTTCAGGGAGTGAAGCTGATGAGGCCAACAGTATAACGAAGGAGACGCACTTTCTGTAGCAATGTATATGTGTACAGGATTGTACATACGAACAGTTCTGAGAACTTGTACTTGTGAATGTTGCTTCGATGCATATTTTATTTTTTTACACAAAAATATGATATACCTGTTTAAGTGCCTTAAAATGTATTTGACAAGAGCATAATTTCCAAAACATACTTCGTTGGTTTCTGCCAGGGGTGGTACAGTATTTTGGAGTTAATTTTTTTTTTCCTAACACAGGAAACAGTCATAGTAAGTGACAAAAAAGCAAACATGCTTTCCCTGCACCACCTTTTGTGCAATACAGCTCTGTAATAGTTACTGTAATGTTTGAAATGAGGTCACACCGTCAGGAAGATGCCCTTCTGATGACAGTGAAAATTTCCAAAGGCTTATTCACGCGTACTTTGATTTACTGTGTGACTCTTTTTTCTACAACTGTGACATGCCTCTTCCCTATCAACTCAGCAGGGGTCATAGATCGAATAGATGCTGGAAAGCATATGATATTTGCATTCCTTGACATCATTTTTTTTCGACATTCCTTCAAATAGTTTCCACACAGAAATTTCTCAGTCCCATTATAAGAGAGTGTGGTGTTATAAGTCTTAAATTTATTATAAGCTGCTTCAAAGAAACGGCCTGATGTTTGAGTTATGAGGGAAGTGCGTGAAGTTTTGAGGTAAACTACAGGATTTAGTTTGGGGAGATTTTAAATTATATCTCAATATGTTTTTCGTCTTTTTTCTGTAATTTCTTTCTTACCTGTCTTCTAATACATTTGCACACTCATAACAGCCAAATGTGAGACACAAATATGTTGCAGACAGTTTGAGAACAGTGACAAGTAATGATGTATTAATACCCACATTCCACACTGGGACCAAATTTTTTTTCCTGTTACACAGATGCGCTAAGCACTTTCCAGTATGCCCCTTTTTGCCAGAAGCAGCCTATTACATCCCTGAATTAAGCACACTTAAGGCACTTGAGACAATTTATTAAAGAGAATTGAAATGTTTGTAACATTTTTTAAAAAATTAAATCATATTGCTCCTGTGAATATATGAAAATATAAAGGTCATAGATACAAACAAATGTTACATATACACATTCTGTCTAGCCAGATGGAAAGAAAAACGGGCACAGAAAATGCAAAACTGTTCGTTAACCAAAATATCAGGTAAAATTAGTTCCTAACTGGGCATCAGCTTTCAAAGGAG